CAATGGTGCGTTTAGCTCTAAGATAACAATTGGACAAAAGCTCTCAGTTCTAACTGCACCCAGGGTTAAGGCCCTGTTAGAGGTCAAGGAACACTAGTGGATGACTGGAGAAAGCTCACTGAATACTGAGCTACACTTACTGAAAACCCAGACATCACTCTTCAGTCTTGCATAGTTCTAAACCCAGCCACCCTCCTCCCAACTAACCATCAGGTAAAGATGAGTGTGAACAAACCACTGACCAGAATTATGCCAGCCGTTCCGATCTGAAACCAGCCATTGACAGGAATGGCAAGCACACAGTTCGCTGACGGCAGTTTCATAAAAGATGGCATTAAGAGGCCAGAGCCTGCCAGTCAGCCTGACCAAGCCACTGCAGCAAGAGGACTCCCTCCTTTAACCTCAGTCCAAAAGGCAAAACTTACTGCCCTCATTTGGGCTCTTCAACTTGCCGGGGACAAGATGGCCAACTGTGCCTTCCTGCCACCTGGAAAGACAAGGGACTTCTGACTAGCCACCAGATCAGTGATCCTCAACCTCCTTGAGGTGGTAAGTCTCCCAAGTGAAGTAGCAGTTGTTTATCATTGGCTCCTTGGATCCTGTCTCCCAAATTCAAAGGCAGATGTGGTTGCCAAACAGCCCTGCAAAATAACCATGGCCCATCAAAAATGCTCCCTGTGGTCTAATTTCAAGATTGCCACTTGGAGTCAAGATGCTCTACAGAAGAGCTTCAGATGACAGATGATGAGGGAGGCCAATGGTGGTAGGAGGGACCCTGGCTGTTCTTGTCACAATGATCACAGTGGCAAGTCCTAAAGTCATTAAGTGTCTACATGAGTGGGATGTTACTGCCACCAGTTATAGGGCCCGGAGCTACTCCAGACACTTCTTATGGGCTCTTTCAGCCTCTTAACTGAAACTGCATTGGCAGGGACTTCTGTGTAGGAAAATGAAAACAGTTCACACACGTTTACTATTGAAAATACATTCTGGCTTAAGACTCAGGCACTTTTCTTACCGTTTGGCACTAATTTTTCTTTGTGTCTTCTAACAAACTGGACAGAAACATGCACCCTTGTTTACTGATGATCTGGCTCCAGAGATCAATTTAACACCTAATAACCAACCCCTTCCAGTTCCTGTAGCCACCAAAACAAGAACCAAGCAAGCCACAGAAGTCATTCCTCTTCTAGTGGGTTTGGGCCTACCAACTGAGTACTGGAATAGGACTACGGATACGGAGATTAGGGTGTGGCAAAGCTGGCTCAGGAAGGAGATGTTAATTAAAAGACATTGGAACACATGTGCAGAACAGTTCCCAAAGCCCTGCACCTGGACTTCTTGTGAGGCCTTGAGCTGGTTTTCAAGAGGAAGGCCTAGAGCTGACATAAGCCTGAGACGTGGGATCCCAGCACCACCTCCAAGGATTTGAATGTGAAAGTTCTCACAGGCTTCCCTGAGATTTGGACAGCACTGAAGGACACAGAGGCTAAGAGGAGCTTGCTATCATGGCTTTCCTCACCACGGTCCACCTTGCCTCCTCCAGGGTATACTTTTATCTTCCTTTTTCCTGTTTTACTCGGCCTGAGCAGAACCACTTTCTCTCTCAGTCTTCATGTTTACTTTCTCAGATAAACTTTGCTATTATTTTTTGCTCATTTGGTTCTCTGACTGTGATGAGAACCTCGATTCTTAACTCCAGAAGGAGAGGTGAGCAACCCAGAACCTGGTAACATTTAATTAGAAGGGGCTATCTGATAACATTTCTGAGCTACATCAGCCCTTTCTACTCTTTTAAGTTTGAGTCTGTCTTACTCAATCACTAAATTGCCTGGGTTGGCCTCAAATTTGTAACTCTCCATCTTTAGCCTCCCAGGGTGTTGGGACTACACTGTGTTACCATGCCCCATACCATGCCTGGCTATATTTCTTATTAAACATTGGTGCCTGGTGTTATTCGGTGCGATGTTAATTTCACATGTCAACTGGTGCAGGAATATTGGTTAAACATTCTCCTCCCTGTTTCTGAACAAGATTTACATTTATAACTGCTTGACTGAGTAAAGCAGATTGTCCACTATAATGTGGGTGGGCCTCAGCCAACAATTGAAAGCCTGACTTGAATAAAAGGTCAGCCCCACCCCACCCAGGCCCACTGCCTCCCTCCTCACAGCAGAGGTGATTCTCTCTGCAGATGGCCTCCAGACGTACCTTCCTGAGACTCCAGCCAGGAGGCTGCCTGCATCAGATTCTAGATTTGCCAAACCTCCACTTAGCTGACTCTTTAAAATAATCTTTCTTTTTCCAAATATATCTTACTGGCCTTTCGCTAGAGAACTCTAACACCCCCATACCTAATAGTACCCACTTTTGTGAGCATTTAACACTTGCTTCCTCTTGTACGCTGTCTAGCAGTTAAGACACACAGGCTTGGACTCAGATGGCCTTGAGTTAAAGCTCCACTTGCTACCTTTCAGTTGTCTCTATCATTCTCATTTATACCATGAGGATAAAAATAGTTTCTTGGTCAATGGGCTCTCACGCCCCACCCCATCCCTGGACTAGGGATTGCACTCAGGGCTTTCACAATGAGCTACATGCATTGGCCCTATTTTATTTTTTGAGTCAGTCTTAGTAAGTCACTAAATTGCCCGGGTTAGATTTGAACTTACAATCTTCCAGCCTCAATTTCAGAACTGGGACTACAGGTATATGCTGAAGCAATGGGCCTTGGGTTTGGCTTTTGTTCTTGAAAGATTATACTAGATGATGCAAGTAAGAGACTTTAACTGATGGCTAGGAGAATTTAAACAATAAGTAAAAATTAGCCATCATCGGAGATGATAATGACCACAAGACAATTGATCCTTTTCTCATATTTCAGATGAGCAAAACCAGGTTCAGGAAAGTAAAAGTGCCCTTCCCAAGACCATCTTACTATTGGCAGGACAGGGTTCTTACATTTAAGTTTCTGCCAAAATATTTAGTATATAACACCATTTAATTTAACATAAAATTTAGCACTTATTTTGATATTTCATGGAGTTTCACGAAGAGCACTTCATACTCAGGAGCTGCAAGTTCAAGGCCAGCCGAGTCTACGTACTGAGTTTAAGGCCAGCCTAAACTATACAGTGAGACCCTGACTCAGGGGGAAAAAAAAGACTGAGTGACTGAGGTCACCAAATTAAGTTTACAGGGACATTCAGCTATACTAGAAGGATGGAGCCATTATCCTAAACCTGTGAACCAGGTAGAAGATTAGGACTGGGCCAAATTCAGTGAAGTAAGTAGGTGTAATCTGTCAGTTATGAGACCCAGGGCACATGCATAGAACACAGAACCCAGGATGACCCTGCTCTTCGTGAAAACAGTCACTGGGACCAATCAACTGCAAAAATTCAGCAAAAAAGACAAAAACTTCAGATGGGTTCCAAGACTCCTAGGGCCCAACTGCTGGACAGAGGCTCTTCTGTGTTCAACGACTGAGATCTGAAATAGAACGAAAAAGAGAGAAACCAAGGAAAAAAGCCAAAATCATGGCTGTTGCAATCAACAATGCTTTAAGCACACTAAGTCATGGGAGCGAGAAGACAGGGCTAGTCAAAGAGAGAGTTCCTGCCTTAAATGCAAGGAAACTAGACAACCGGCACATGACTGTCAGGCATCATGCAGGCCCTGCTGTGAGGCTGATGTGGGTGACTCGGTGGCCACTCTCAGGGAGCAGTAAGGCCGCCAAAAGCCTCACCCCCCACTCTGACAAAGAGAACAAAAGGGCCTGGGGCAAACTGCCAGACCCTGTCCACAGGGATCTCCAACTCCAGTGAGAAACACGCAGTGATGCCGGATGCCAGGGGCAAACAAATTCAATTCCCTTTAGATACAGGCACAGCTTATTCTGTTTTCACTTGTTTCTCTGGAAAACGCTCCTCTAGAACTAGTGCCATAGTTGGGGTTACGGGAAGTCCTAACCACAGCTTCTTTACCTCCGCTTTGACGTTAATTTGAAGGTCAAATATTCAACTATGAGTTTGTCATTGTCACATGGTGCCCTAGTTTCTCACTAGGAAGGGATCTACTAGTTAAACTGGGCACAGCGTACTTTTGTTCCACCTTCAAGAAATGTACATTTCACTGTCTTTTATGTGTGTCATGTCTAAGGTTCTTTTCAGAACACCAAAAACTTGAAAAGAATTTCTTTTTTTTTTTTTTTTTGGTACTGGGGATTGAACTCATGACCTTGCACTTGTCAGGGAGGAGCTTATGCCATTGAGCTAAATCCCAGCCCCTGGAAAAAATTTCTTCAGGACCCACAAAAGCCAATAACCTGATCACCTGGATTTCAGGAAAGGTGGAGCCCCACATGACCAAGATCACCACAGACAAAGACAGTCTCTTCCTGGAATCAAAATCATCCCTCAACCATAGAGATTCTAGAACCCTGAAGTCCAGGACTGGACATGATCAACACCAGTCCACCACTAAGGTTTGAGATCTGAAGCAGTCTGAATGTCAGTATCAGAGTGAGCCCCCTCCAGCTATCTAAGCTGAAGTTCTTTCCTTTCTTCCCCTTCATGTTCCAATCAAAAGGTTTTTTCCTGTGAATTTGAGATTTAGTTCTAATTTCCATTTCCACTAAAGCCAGGACTCACGCTAGCCAATGACACCTACACCATGTTGTCCCCCTCTGCCCTCATCAAGATCGCCCCCTTGCACACATCGCCCTCAGCCGCCTTCCTCCCCGGCCACCTCCCTCCCCCTTCATCCAGATGCAGACCCAGGGACTCCTACCAGGAAGCTGTTCTCTGCTCCTCCCCACGTGTCCTCCACCAGTGTTTCCATGGTGGTTAACGCTCTGTCTGCCTGTCCCTAGCAAGGTAAAGGCCACAGCTCACTGACCCTTGTGTAGCCACTGCCTGGCACTGTATCTGATGCAGTGAATGAGCATATAAACAAGCTCTAAAAAATTCAAAGAAAAAAATCCCGAGTTAATTTCGAACCTCAGTTTTGTCAGAGTCATCATTGCCCAGTAACTCATCATCCTCTTCTCTCCCCGAGCCTCTTGCAGGTCCTGGAAGATGCTTTGGGGTTTCACCAGGATCCTCAATGCTTATCGTGGTGTCTTCTGGGTTTGCTGCTAGGCAAGTGGGTGCATCACCAAATTCTGAAATCAAGTACAACACAAGGCATTCATGGACCTTACACACAGTGCAAATGCTGTACTTCCATTGAAGGACAAGTTGTTACAACCTCGTCTTTGCTATGGACCCCATCCAAGAGTAATAGGCACAAGCCTGGGAAAAAAGTCTCATCTAGAAGCCAATCTGACATTGAAAAATGATTAGGAACACAACAGGATTTGGAGTCAGACCTAGAGTTCAGTCCTGGTTCAGCTCCTTCCTAGCTGTATGAACCTAAGCATATAAACTATAAACGTCAGTGCTCCTACCCATATAACAGAGAGAATAACATTGATGTTAAAGAATTTGGAGAGCGGTCAGGCATGGTGGTACACACCTGTAATCCCAGCACTCTGAGACGAGAAGGCAGGGGGCCTGCCAGTTTGAGTTCAGCCTAGGCAACCTAGTGACTCAGCAAGACCCTGTCTCAAAATAAATAACCAAGAGCTGGGGTGCAGCTCAGTGCAAATGTTCTGGGTTCAATCCTCAGTACACCACACACACACACACACACACACACACACAAATCAGAAGGCAGAGTCTGAAATATTACTAAAGACAAGTCCTTAACAAAGTGTCTTGCCCAATCTAAACCTCTCTCCTTTGATCAGTTTAAAAAAAATTAATGGAAGTTTTCTTTTCCAGTAAGTCCTATGTAATCACTAGAAAAAATATGTGGACTGGGCCAGGGAATTAGCTGAGAGTGTGAGTGCCTGCCTGGCAAGTGTGAGGTCGTGAGTTCGACTCCTAGTGCCAAAAAAACAAGAGACAGAGAGAAAATATGTGGACAAAAAATTTACAAATAATAGAATAAAAACTGCTCTTAGTCCCCTCACATAAAGGCAATGCTACCACTGGTTTATTTACTTATGTAGTGAGACTCATGTCCGTGACTGTCATTCATTTAACAAATATTTACCTCATGTTTCCAGGATACCAAGTGCCAACAACTTTGATCCTATTTTTATCTACTAGTGATTATGTAAAAAAGTCTTCATATTATATCTTTGAAATATATAAGGAATGTCTATATAGAAAGCTTTGAGTTACTGTCCTGGGATGACCAACCACCAGTGCATTCACTGGATTACCAGGTTTAAGGTTCTGAACCCAAACTGCTGAACAGCTTTCCAAAAGAATCTCACCCCTTTATGTTCACCAGCAATGACGGGAATGCCTGTCTCTGAGCATCCTAATACACTTTATTTAACTGTACTTGAATAAAATTCAGGGCATCTTTGAAGGCCTAAGGAATGGCAAGCGTGAGGTCGTGAGTTTGATCCTCAGTTTTTTATTTTTTTATCTTTTTGAGACAGGGTCTTGCTATGCAGTTCAGGCGGTCCTTCGGCTCACTTTGTAACCCAGGCTGGACTTGAACTTGCAATGATCCACCTGCCTCAACCCCTCAAGTGCTGGGATTACAGGAATGCACCACCATGCACTGCAGCATGACACAGATCCTGCTATTAGGGTGGAGCTCTTGGAAAACTAAGCTTACCCTCACTGCCCTTCAGCTAAATGAGTAATTTTATGCAGAAAACCAAAGTGACTAAAATTAACCACGCAGTTAATATGTAACGATTATTCCAGCTTTGAGCAACATTTGAGTTGTTTAAGCAGTATGAGGGTTTAGAATGAGATTGTTCTTGGTTCAAGTTGAGACTAAGCTCATGACCCACTCTCTTGAACAAATTACTCCCAATGAGTCTGTTTTTTCACCTATAAAATACAGATCACACCTCTTAGAGAGAGATTGTATGACATGAGGTTAGAGCCACCATTATTTGCTGGACAGAGCACTGGCATTTAAAACAATGGTCACAGCCTTGCCAGAGGGACTCAGACCTAGTAAGATATACTTACACCTCACATTTAGAAAGTTTACTTCCAGGAGGAGGAACAGAGAGAACCACTATAGAAATGCAAAGGTCAAAGACTGAAAGGAAGGGAACTCGTCTGCAGTAGTTGGAGATCCAGAAAGACGAAGGCCAGAGGGGTGGGGAAAGCGTCCTGTGCAAAGCCTGGGAGACAAGCAGACCTAAGAGTGGCAGGAAGCCTCTCCCAGTGAGGGTCGGCAGGTGGCATGGTTTGACTGGGGTATGCACGGAGTCTGCGAAAACAATGCCTGTCTGCAATTGTCTGCATGTTACTCTTGTCCACCTCAGCTCCTTGAGGGCGAGGCTGGGTCTGACTTCTGCCATCACTGTTCCCCGCACTACCTCCTGGCATCTCCTAGGCTGTGTTTTGCCTCTGTTCGCTCCCTCACACAGCATCTTCTACCTGCAGGCTCCTGAACTCCACTTTTCCACGTAACACTACCACTCTTCCTCCAGGAAGCCATCTACAATTCCCACAGCCCTTCGGTGCTTTTTTCCTCAGGACAAAGTCCCTAACACTTTATAAACCCTGCCCTAGCTGCTGCCCACCCCCCCTAAAGGCTCACTTCTACCAGCTGTCCACTCAACCTCATCTGTGGTCTAGAACCTTCTTTCAGCTTTGTGGGGAAAAAAAAAAAAATCAAGCTTCTTTTCTCCTCAGGGACTTGCACAGCCTGTTCTCTATGCTTGAACTTTCTTGTACCCCACTCCAAGGAAGCCTCCCTAATGAAGCACAATGTGATCTGAGCGAAGGAGTGACTCTCATGGTTCACTGGAGAATGACAGTCTCAGAAAGAAAGATGGCACAAAATCCCTAAGCTGAATGTACCAGAAACAGTGATGAGGCGCTGCTGCTGGGACAGGAAGGGCAGGAGCAGGAGATGAAATCAGGGTAGAGGAAGGCTAGCTCACATGGAGGCCTCCTAAGTCTCAGAGCGCCAGTTTCCACTCCTAGTAAGATGGGTGTTAATGAAGGGTCTGAAAGAACAACATGCTCTGACTTAGTTTTAAAAAGACACCACAGCTCTGCATTATATTCTCTAGAGGGGCAAGGAAGGAAGCAAGAAACCAGAAAGACGGTAACGAGGGCTATGATTAGGCCAAAAGGTGCTAAGAGTCCCTAAATATGGTTAGGAGTACAGATGGAAGACGTTAGAAGCATTCAGGTGCTAGGTGTATCATGGATATGGCAGTATTTGTCAAAGAAGTAGATTCCTCTTTACTCATCATAGCTCTTCCTCAGACAGTAAAAAGTCTGTGATGCCAGATGGCCTGGGTTCAAATCCTCCCTTGATGGTGATCTTTAAGCAAATTGCTTGGATTTTCTGGGCCTCGATTTCTTATGAGCCAGGCATGGTGGGCTGCACCTGTTATCCCAGCACCCCTGAGGCTGAGGCACAAAGACGCCAGGAGTCTGCTACAAACACCAGACAGCAGAAACAACCATCATGACAGTGAACACCCAACTGCTATACCTTCAAACTGCAAGTTATCCACAGCTGCCATTCAGCCAGTGGGTCTTCTCCCAGGTTGCAGGAGGAAAATGTGCAGAGGTCTGAAAGGAAAGGTAAGTACACTTAATCAGATAACAAAGTAAAACATTTGCAAACAAATCCCGTCCCAGTGTTGGAAAGGCACTGCTTGCCAGTGTCTCCTTTGTCAGTGGGGTTTGATAGGTTTACATATAAAATTATTATGAAGAAACTGCACGGGTGGTGGCACAAGCCCGTAACCCTTGTACTGAGGCTGAGGCAGGAGGATTTCTGCGCTTTCAAGGCCACCCTCGGCAACGTGGTAAGCTGAAGACAGGTCTGGACCACAAAGTGAAACCTTCAAAAACAAAACAAGAAACTAACGCCAGTAGTCCACCGTGTGCATGTTTAGAGTCTCAAGGATGCAGCCAGGGGGGCACGATGCAGGAGGAGTGCTGAGGCTGGAGAGGTGAGAGAGAGCAAGAGCAGTTAGGCCGAGGCAGTGGTTATGGGCATGGGCTCTGGAACCTCACAGACCTGCGTTTGATTTCAGACTCTGAACCCTTCTCCGCTGTGTGGGCGTTCCTCGGGGGCTCAGCTTCCTCATCTGTAAAACGGGCTCGTAACGGCGCCTACTCACACAGTGCGGGGGCCATAAAACAACACTGCTTGTGTACGGCACTTCGCGCACAGCCAGGCAGCACCCACAGCTCAGTCGCCCCGCTCGCCGCCCAGGGACGCTGCGGCCCGAGGGCTCCGCCAGCGCTTCCTGCTCCCCGGTGCCGGAAGCCGGAGATCCGGGAGGCGGGGCTGGCCGCCTCCTCCGGGCAGAGCCCCGCCCTCTTAAAGGGGCAGCAGCCCCGGAAACGCTCCCGGAGACCTCGGCGCCGCGAGCCGGCCCGCCCCCGCCCCGCCCTACCCGCCCCTCTCCACCCCGCTCCCCGCGGCGAGCACCCCCAGTGTAAACCGCCGGGGGCGGGGCGGGGTGGAGCCGCAGAGGGTCCCTCGGCGCGTCCCTGGCTCGGAGCTCGCAGGGAGCGCTCGAGAAAGATTGGTGTTTTCTTGCCGTTTGTTTTTAACCTCTTTTCTTAGAGAAAACCAAACCAGAGCAATAAAACATGATTGCCGAAAGAGAAAAAAGGTCATCCGCGTCACCAGTCTTCCGAGTTTCTTTTGCCATAAAATCGAACCACTCAGGATGAGATGCGAGGAGGGCAGGGTGCAGACTGCTAATTTGGGCGCCTCGTTGCACAGGCCTTTATTCCGCCCTTCCTGGGGGGCGGGGACGCCTGGAGAGGGATGGGTCTCTCACCTGTGTCCCCCAGGTTTATGCCTGCCTACCAGTAGGCCAAGGCCTCTCTAACCACACCTGCACCAGCCTGCTTCGACTGCTCTGGACTCTGGGGACCCTTTGCTCCAACAGTCCCCGGAGCTTGCCTCTACCACAGAGTTCACCTGGACAGCAGTCAGGAGTGATTTTGTTGCTGGGTGCTGGTGGCAGCATACACCTGTAACCCCAGTACTCAGAAAGCTGAAACAGAAAGATTTCCACGAGTTCAAGGCCAGTCTAACTACATAAGGAGACTTCTTCTGGGGTGGGGGGAGTGATTCTGGTCTCTGGGTCTGCAGTGCCACCCCAGGGGTCCAGGTACACAGTAACTGCTCACTAAAGACTAATAATGAACAAGTTCTTGCTGTCGGATACAATATAATATTATTAATCATTAATGTATATCTTGCTATATAGTGAAGGGTTATTTAAGCTGGCTCATGACCAGTCTCTGTCCCTTCAAGATTTCTAATTGTCAGAACAATTCCATAGCAGGTGGTGTTAATTCTCTTTGTGTAAAGAGAAAGCAGGGGCTTAAAAGGACACCCCGGGACACTTTGTTTTGAATCTTGGTTCATGGATCCAGATGCATGTGTGTGTCTGACTGTACTTATGCTCCGTTTGCTCTTGGACTTCCTTAAGGCTGACCCCTATCCTTCAGCCCTGACCCTTGGACTCATGCTTTACAATAAACACTCACGTGAGAACCCACACAAAAAGTTGGCAGCACTAAGAGTGGCTCCATGAAACAGAGCCTTGGGTCTGCACCTTGGGACTGGATTGCCACTCATCAGATGTCAGCGACAGGTCCACATGTCTGGTAATGAGAAGTGGGATGGGAGGGTGACAGAAACATCACAATTACATGGGGAGTGTTTATTGTCGATTTGCGTGAGGTGCAGGTGGAAGGTGTGGCATCCAGTTATCTGGTGGCTATGGTGTGGCACTGAAACAGGAGAGCCATGTGGTTTTTTGGTTTTTGTTTTTGTTTTTGAGGCAGAGTCTCACTATGTAACCCAGACTGACCTGGAACTTGCAGCAATCTGCCTGCCTCAGCTTCCCAACTGCTGGGATTACAGGTGTGCCCCACAACTCCCCCATCCTGTGATTTCTCTCTTTCCTCTTGAGGTGGAATGCTTGAGATGCTACCTGAGAATTTAGGCACAGAGCCTCTTTTCATGTGGCCACAGAGTAGGTTTTATCTTGGTAACATTGTATACAGATCCTCATATCAGGGAAATAATCACATCTATACTCTCATCATTTTTCAAATTCCTACTTTCCCATTCTGGCCAAAAATCTTTTTCTAGCTTAACTCTTGTTAATCTTTTTTTTTTTTTTTTCCTTTCTTTTTTGTGGTACCAAGAATTGAACTCACAATCCTGCACTTGCCAAGCAGGCGCTTATGCTGCTGAGCTAAATCCCTGGCTAGCTTAACCCCTAATTATGAATCTCCTTCCTATTTCCCTAAGTACTTACCTAACTCATTAAAACTTAAAAACTAGGCACTGGGATGTATTTCCCTCCTATGACACACTACTAGCACATTTCTAGCAGCCTATTTGCTGTACTTCTTCCACTGAGAATCGCATTTCTCTCTTATAACCCAAAATTAGAAGGTATATTAAAAGGTGCAAACATAGTTTGAAGAGGTCAAGGGAGTGCTAGTACAGTCAGATATGGAAGGAATGTCAAAATTGCCAAGGTTTAAAAATATGATTCACATGCTAAGAGCTCTTAACAACAGGAAAAACCAAATGGGTATTGAAAGCAGACAGCTCAATAAGTCAAAAAGAAATTCTAGGGGACGGGCGGGGGATTTAGCTCAGCGGCATAAGCGCCTGCCTTGAAAGCAGGCAGTTGTGAGTTCGATCCCTGGTGCCGATAAAAAGGAAAAAGACAAAAAAAGAAATTCTAGGGGTCAAAAATACTATGGCAGGGTCGGGGATCTAGCTTAGTGGCATAAGCATCTGCCAAGGTCGTGAGTTTGATCCCCAGTACCAAAAATACTATGGCAGAAATAAAGAATGCCAGTGATGAGCTTATTAGTAAACTGGACACAGCTGATGAAAAAATCTCTGAACTTTCAGATACATCAATAGAAAATTCCAAAACTGAATTTCAAAGAGAAGAAATAAAGAAAAAAGCAGGACAGAATATCCAGAAACTGGGAAAACTACAAAAGGTGTTACCATGTGTAATGAGGCCAGCAGGAGGAAAAACAGAAAACAGAAATACCTGAAATAATGAGAAGTTCCCCTGAATTAATGCCAGATGTCAAACAACAAATCTAGGAGACACAGAGAACACCAAACAAAATCAGTGAAGACACAGACACACTCATTACCTACACATGTTGAAACTCTAGACAATCTAAGATAAATAATCTTGAAACCAGTGGGAAGGGGAGCTCACATATAGAAGTGAAATGGTTTTGTGATAAGAGGAAAAAAAATCAACAATAGCAACCTATAATTCTGTATTTTGAGGAAATTTTCCTGCAAAAGTAAAAGGGAAATAAAGATTTTTACCAGGGAACTGTTGTCAGTAGACTTACTTTTCAAGAAATGTTCTTCAGATAGAAGATGACGTAGGTCAGAAACTCAAGTTCATGTAAAGAATCCAAGAGCGTTAGAAAAAGAAGTAGAAGTAAAATGAAAAAAATGTAATTTTTTGCTCAAAATAATATATTTGAGTATGTGTATTTATTTGTGAATGTTTATGTATGAATGACAGCAGTGAACAATGATAAGGCACAGAAGGAATTAGGAATATTTTGCTATTTTAAGATGTGTACACTCCTTGAAAATCTGTATAGTTTGAAAGTAGAATTGGACTAGTTATAAATGTTTCATTTCAAACTCAGCATAACTGATATGCTAAGGACATATCAATTGATATGAAAAGGACAGTAAAAGGACTCATACAACATGCTCAATTAAACCACAAAGGATAGAAAAAGTGGAAGGTAGTAATAAAAAACAAAGGCACTGAATATGAAATAATAACAAATATGGAAGATGTTAATCCAGCAATATCAATAATCACTGTAAAGCTCAATGGAATGGGCTAGGGATTTAGCTCAGCAGCACAGTGCCTGCCTGACAAGCACAAGGTTCTGAGTTCATTCCTGAAACCACCTCCCCACCCTAAACACTCTCAATGGTCTAAATATACATTTGTTAAAAGACGCAGATTCTCAGAGTGCATTAAAAAACAAGACCCAGGGGCTGAGGATTTAGCTCAGCAGCATAAGCGCCTGCCTTGCAAGCAGGCAGTCGTGAGTCTGATCCCTGGTACCGATAAAGAAAAAAAAAAAAAAGACCCAGATGGGCATAGTGATTGTCTTGGTTTCTTTTCTCTCCTTGCTGAAACAAAACACCTGATGCCCAAAATTAGGGAAGGAAAGGTTTATTTATCTTACAGTTTTTTGGAGATTTCAGTCCATAATGTGCTGGCTCCAAAGAAGGGTGGTAAGGCACTGGGGCAACGCTTCAAGGCAGCGCTCAGAGCAAAAGCCGTGAGAACACAAGGAGGAAAACAGGCCTTTTCTCCCTGCTTACACTGTACAGAGCCCACCTCCCCCACCTCAGGTAAGGTATAGCACTCACAAAATCTCCTTGCCTTCCTTTGTAGGGGATGAGGATATTTACAAAGTAAGAACCCTGGCTCCCTGCTGAGTCAGTTAAATTTCTAAATTTCTAAGGTTGACACAGTGTATTAACCGTAACAATCTACCCCTTGTCGACTTGGCAAACAGACATATTTCTTAAATCAGCCTCCAGATACAAAGGCATGCTTATTCTTAACATTTTGCAATTTAACAATCCTTAAGAACCAGCATTAAGTCTGCCAACATTGTATTACATTAGAAACAATAACATTTTGTCCTTGCACCACCAAAAACTCATGCACATCTCTTTATGCAAAAGGTATTTAGTGGATCTGAAAGAGTTGCCAAAGTGCTAACAGTTTCAGCTCTGCTGAAAAGTTCAAATCCCACTCTACAACTCATTAGCACACAGCAGTGGGAAGGGTCATCTAGCCGGCGCACTTCAGAATTGTAACCAACAAAGAAAGAAACTGGGGCCTCCTGGAAGAAACAAAAAAGATGAGAAGAAGAAGCAACAACAAAAGTCCCCAGGTCACAACCCTGAGAACATTGACCCAGGACAGGTAAATACAAAGGAGAATGAGAACAGCAAACATGCAATACCAGACACAGCACCAGTGGATATAAAGAGATATATTGGGGATCTCATAGACGAGTTCAAAAGTGAAATATTTAGCCAAGTAAAGCATGATATAAGATTAATAAAAGAGATACTAAGTACCCCTAAAGCAGACACAGATGGAAAAAGGGAGGCACTCAAAACAAGGAGATTTGATGAAGAATGTAAAAAAATACAGAATACATGAAGCAGATTCAAAGAGATTACCAGAAAATTAAAAACTCTATGGAAAGATG